GGGGTTGTGTTTTTGTTGTTGTTTGTTTGGTTTTTGAGATAAAGTCCCACTATGTCACCCTCAGTGGAGTGCCATAGTGTCACAGCTCACAGCAACCTCAAACGCTTGGGCTTAAGTAATTCTCTTGCCTCAGCCTCCTGAGTAGCTGAGACTACAGGCACCCACCACAACTCCCGGCTATATTTTGGTTGCAGTTGTCATTGTTTTAGCAGGCCCTGGCTGGGCTTGAATCCACCAGCCTCAGTACATGTGGCCAGCGCCCTACTCACTGAGCTACAGGTGCCGTGCCTGAAAGACATGTTTTAATTATGTCTAAAACATGAATAACTGAGCTATACAGAGATATTTAATAATTCACTAATCTAAGAACACTAAAAAAGATACAGAGAAAAACTGATCCAAATGCTAAGGAAGAAAATCCCAGAACACCAGGGTTGCCAGGCAGCAGGTTCTGTTATCAGATGAACAGAGTCCTGGCCCCATACCTGATCTGCACTTAGCTGCTGTGTGGGAGCCTTCTCTCTCTTCTGGTGCCAGTTTTGTTGGTGTTCGTGTTTCCTTCCCTCTGTTCTGGCATTTTTGTCTAAGCTGTAGTTGGCTTTTAAAGGTAATATGTAAATTACACAGGCTCTTAACACCATGCATCTATATGTCTGTGTGTGTGGGAAGTAGGTACTTACAACTATATACTGCTCTAGAAAGAAAAAAGATCAAATACCTATGTGATTATTTTCTTTAAAAAAATTGTTTTAATTACCAAACTAACACATGCTCATTGCAAAAGAATTCAAGTAGTATATAATTGTATAAAGTTAAAAATATTTTAAAATGTAGCATGTTTTAGTTTTACTTTGGGCAGCAATACAAAAATTATTTGGGACCATCTATTCTAATACAGTAAGGTTAGTAGTACAGCCTGGTATTCATTGCATTTAGCTAAAGGTTAGTATGTTCATTTATCCATCAAATATTTCCTAAGTACAGTCCACATGGAGACATTTAAGATGGCACTAAGAGAACAGCAGTAAACAAAATAGAATAAATTTGTGTAGTTATTAGAATATACTTATTCTAATACATTCTGTTATTAGAATGTATAATCTATGACATATTTCAAATATTTGAAATTGCTTTGATACTATCACTATTAGTCTGCGCTCAGAAAATAAAACTTTATTATGACCCAGAATAAAATATTAGGAGGCAGATCCCCTGAGTAGAAGATTATAACCCATAAAAAAATCACACTCAGATATTTTTAAATTACCTGTTAACAGCTACTCTCCATTTGTTTGAAAAATAAAGACTTGGCCATCTTTGGAGACTGGGGAAAACAACAGTTATCCATGGAAAAGCAAAATTATTTTCATGTAGTCACTAGTTATGGTAAATGGCACTTCTAATGCTAGGTCTCCTGTGACATCAGGCAGGATGAAACTAGACAATCTTCAATAAAGAAAATACTAGAACGTCTCTAAGCTGACACCCAAAGGACTAGAACAGACTGGTCAGCATCAGGAACTTCCATTGAGTACATATGGTGCATGTCTAGACTGTGAAAATTAGGTCTAGTTAAGGAGGTGGTCAGTGGAGGGAAGTGGTCAAATATGGAGGTTTTACCATATTCAGAGACCTGCAAAAGAGGGAGGGAAGACATTTCTCAAAAACAACTGATCCATTCAGTTAACCAGGTGCTTAGATTATATCAACAGAGATAAAGCTCTCTACTTTTGTGGAGCTGTCTTTCTGAGGGTTGATGGGAATGAGGGAGGAAGGGAGGATGAGGGGAAAAAAAATAATAATAAGTAAATTATGTGAACATGCTATGGAAAAAAATATTAGAACTGCCTGAGCAGGATCCAGAGTGCTGACAGGGCCTGTGGTGAGCTGGTAGAGGGTGGGATACAGAATTAAACAAGATCATCATGGTCAGCCTCTTCAAGAAGATGATGAGGTTTAAGGAGAGGCATAAAGGTGGCGAGTGAACTTGGGGAGAGCAGAGCAAAGACCTTGAGGTGCAAGTATGCCTGGTCTGTTCCAGAAGGAGTATAGGCTACAAAGAGGGTAGTAGGACCAGAGGCTGATCACAAGAAGCTGTGGATCGTAGTAAGGACGATGGCTGTCACTGTGGTGAGCTGGGGAGCCATTTTGCAGGGCTGTGAACAGAGAGGTGACATGATCGGACTCCCAACTGCACTGCTGAGAATTATTTGGAGACATTCACAGCTTATTTCAAGGAGTCTATTGTATACTATCCATCATGTTCATGAAATGAAATAGTGTCTATAAAACTAATCTGTTAAAACATCATAGAGAGTTAAAAATCAGACTCTCTTACATTAGATTCATACACCATTATCCACACTTTACAGATGAGGAAACTAAGGTGCAGAGAAGTAAGATTACCTATCCAAATTCCTAAAGTTAGTAAATGGTAGGGCTTTTTTTTTTAATATTAAATCATAGCTGTGAGAGCTTTCTTTTTGAACCAAGGTTCAAATGGGTTCCAGAGCTTACATGTTGAATCCTATTCCATTTTTTAGGTATTTGATCTTAAGATGTAGATGTTTAATACAATCTAGGCAGTTTTCAGTTTCTGTACCATCCACATACTTAGAGAGCCCTGGCTGCCTTGATCCCTGTACTGTCCGTCTTTTGATTTGACTTCCTTCTGCCTGAGTCTTTCCACAACAGCCTTCTTGTATGAGTCACCCACTACCATTGAGGTAGCTTCCTCCAGCCCTCTCTCCATTCTCAGAAGATGCTAATTCCAGGGGCAGTCAGAATTTCTGTGTAGCTATTAACGCTTTTACCCATTTTTGCTAGTTCCAATGTTGAGTCTTGGTGTTGCAGAGAAATTTAGGGTAATTATTAGTGTCATATCATAGTTACTTAGGTTTACATGGGCTGGTCTAGGAACGTTAACTGCATCTTGTGGCATTGTTTCCGTGAGAAAAAATGGACTCATAAACAAAATTTTGCCATACAGGCAACCCCCAGATTATAAAAGGTGCTTTCTGTAGGTTTGTTCTTAAGTTGAATTTGTATGTAACTTGGAACCAGTATGTTTACCTATTACTTGTAATAGCCTCTGTTCATAAATACAGATTTTGTGTCAATCGAATGTTTATAACGTGGGGACTGCCTGTGTACCCTATCTCTATGTGGGGGTGCCCTCTACTTTCTATTACCAACCTGAGCATGTGGCCTGTAACAGTCAAGGATCGATTACAAGAAAACCCTAGAGAGCAGTGCTAGGTCCGTGTACCTTCCTGGTCTGGTAAAATACCTGGTTAATTTTTTCTTTCTTTCTTCCTGCAGAGATGAACATCAGGATTTTAGGGATGAGCAAAGGCGTCTAAAGAAGCTTCGTGGCAAGGGAAAACCAAGGAAAGGAGAAGGGAAAAGAGCAACAAAAAAGAAATAGTGTTGGCCCATTGAGAAAGAAAAATGTCTTCCTCAGTAACAGGAAGAAGAAAGTGTATTCATCATCTTTCCTCATAATGAAAGAACGCAGTCTTCCTGAGTGAAAGTTATTTGGAGGAACACATCATCTGTGTGTTAAAGTCAAATCCAGATAAATCATGACTGGCTTCTTGAACACATTCTAACTACAAAATTATTTTCACCTTAGCTTTGTAATCTGAAGTTTACCTAATTCTCTAAAGAAATGAATATGTGAATTATCGTTTAATGACTTTGGAGGGTGGGAATGGGAAGGTGGGGGTGGAGGAGACCTGGGGGTGTGCCTGTCCTTCCTCCCCCCCTTGCCCAGCCCAAACATCTTTCATCTCTCTGGCCCTTCAACCACAGTTTCCACTACCAAGTTCCCAAGCTTTCTCGGCCTCTCCACCTAATCTGAGAAATCTAGGAGGATTAATTTGTGGGATAAAAGTCTGTGCCTACAAAGGGAGTACTGAATACCTACTGTGTGTAAGGTGCAGGGGCCCTGCTGATAGTGGTTAGCAAGAGAAATAGGCCCTCTAGAACCTCCCAGTCTTATGGGAGAGACTAATATCATTTAATTACATACAGTTTTATTAAATGCTTCAAAGGACAATGCCAGACTTCTGTACGAGTGTGGTCAGATGGATGGTTGGATCCAGAGAGATAGCCAGAGGCCCAAATCTCATTAGAAAGTTTAAAGAAGGCCTCCCTAAAGAAATGATATTTAAACTGAGCCCTGGAGGATAAATAAGAGTTAGCCAGAAGAAAAAATGGTGAGAAAGGTGTTTAAGGCAGAGAGCACGACTTGCAAAGCCCTCAGGCAAGAAGAAATCATCCTGTTCAAAGAAATGAAAAAAGACCAGTGAGTGGTTCACCATCAGCCATGAGGCAATAGGCAGAGGTCACACCATGAAGGGCTTTGAAGTTCTGTGAAAAAGCTTTAACTTCGCCAGGGGTCAGAATGTGTACGATATTATTTCTAGGAGGGATGACTTGTAAAGGTTTGAGTGGTAAGCTACTGATTTTACTGTATTCTAAGCAATGAATTTCCAAAGAGATTGTGAGGGTTTCTTAAGCTTGTCAAGAGTTGTTCTGAATCTGTAGCACTGTCCGGTACATTTTTTAAGTACTTTTTAAAATTACTGCAGTAAAATACATAAAACTAAATTTACCATCTTAATCACACATAAATGTACAGTACAGTAGCATTAACGCTGTGCACATTGTACTTTTTTAACCCCTGTTACTACCTCTGAAGTGGAGAGAGCAAAGTATACAGGCAAGTGTATGTATAGCAAGCACTCCAGCTACAATTTCCTTTCTCTGCTGTGCTGAATGATTCCAGAACTAGAAAGAATCCCAGTACATATGCTTAGACAAGTGATATTTTTAAATATTCATAATCCAGATGGTATGGCTAGGACCTATATTGTAGCCTGTAAAAAAGGAAAAGAAACTATCTAAAATTGGGTGGTTTGTAGCTGATAGAAGTGAATTCCAACAGAAGGCTGAGAATCCATTCATTTAGAACTCTGCTGAGCACCTGCCATGTGCCTGACACATAATAGTTGTAGAGGATACAGAGACAAATAGAGTTAGTCCCTAAGATTGTGTGAATGAGCATGTGCGTGTTGTAAAGTATTGGAATGATCTCAGAAGTTTGCTTGGAAAAGTGCAGATGCAATGTTATTCTTGGCCAGTGCAGCTGAGCCAGGTGTGGGTGGATGATTACCCCAGGATGTTGGGCTGAGAAACAGGCTCTCAGCCTGAACCCAGTATAGCTAAATGGGTGTTCTGAATTCTCCTGTGCTTGGAGAAGGCCTGAATGTAAGAGAAACTTGAGAGAATTAGCATGATGTTTTAAAGAAAGTAACCACATTAAATACCAGCAGCAGACCTGAACCAGGAGACAAAGAATCAATGTATTGGCTAGCTGATGGAAAAGCTTCGATGAGATCTTGACCCCTGAACCTGCAAGGGGCCTTAGCAATGATTGATTGTAGATAACCCAGCAGTAGATTAGTGTGCACCACTGCTCCCTGCTGAAAATTAGAACCTAAAGCTATAATTTTATTTGTACATAAGCTGAAAGAGTAAACACTGTGAGACTCCAAACAGCCTGTACTGAACCGCAGAGGGCCAGCTAGGAAGGAGAGGATAAGAAGAGTTAATTCTTGACACTGGAAGGCAATGAGTTTCAGGACACCAGGGACCAAGGGTCAAAGACTAAGTGTAATCTAGAAAAATTCTCGACTCTAGGTTTAGACTAGCCAGATTGTTTAATTGGGCTTAACCAGTCATAAACTATTTGCGCTTTCCCTCTAATGTTTGGTGTTTAGCATGCATGGGCGATTTCGCCTGATCTCAGGGTGGCATAGTAAAAAGAGACTGGGTTTTGGACTCAAAAATCATGGGTTTGTGACATAGTTTACTGGCTGGCTATGTGACCATAAGTCACCTTCTCTGAACCTCTTTCCTCTGTAAAATCATGATAATACTACTTCACTGGATTAATGAAATAGTAAGATATTTGCAAAAAGGACAATATAAATTATAAAAGTTAATCCCGTGTTTTTGCATGCAGTGTTTTTTGTGACTACTAAGAACTGCTGCATCTTATTAGCAGGTTTTTCCAAGTGTTGACATACATCTGCTAAAAATACAAAGTTCTCAGATTCACTCACAGCACGATAGGTTCAGGAAGTGGAGGTAGATGGGAGATAGATTTTGTTAATGTAATTATGATCACTAAAAATTCATTTTTAAAGCATATGTGTTTGGAAATAAAGCATTATATACATAAACATAAATATATTTTTATTTATAAAGCATCTTCTAAGAAAGAATAAATCAAAATCTGAAATTGCCCGCTTCACCCTATTTCACTTTCCTCTCACATCTCCCCCAAAGCACTTGTATGTCTAATTTTAGAGAGTTGGAGCAAGGAACAAGCCCTGTTTTCGTGGCTCTTTTTCTTATATACTCAAGAGTTCAGAACAAAGCATTTCTTTAAAAATAAAAAATTGAAGGCCAAGGTAGATGGATTGCCTGAGCTCAAGAGTTCGAGACCACCCTGAGCAAGAGCTAGACCTCCCTCTCTACTGAAAATAGAAAAACTAGCCAGGCATTATGGCACAAGCCTGTAGTCCCAGCTACTCGGAAGCTGAGGCAAGAGGATCTCTTGAGCCCTAGAGTGAGAGGTTACTATGAGCTATGATGCCATGGCATTCTACCCAGGGCGACAGAGTGAGACTGTCTCAAAAATAAAAAAAACAGTTAAAAATTGGCCTGTGTGCAGTACCTCATGAATTGCTTGAGCTGAGGAGTTCAGGACCAGCCAGAAAGATGGAGACTTTACGTCCTTCATGTTCACATGAATGGAGCTGGAAAATGTTCTTAGCAAAGTATCACAGAAATGGAAGAAAAAGTATCCAATGTACATAGCCCTATTATGAAATTAATTTATAGCTTTCATATGAAATCTATAACCTAATAACAGCCTAAGAATATGGGGAGGGGGAGGGAGAAGGGTGGGAGGAATAGGTGGAGGGAGGATGATTGGAGGGATCACTTCTATGGTTTATCTTACAAGGGTACAAGTAAATCTTTCTAAGAGTAGAATATGAGCATCTTAACACAATAAGAAAATGACATGAAGGCTATTTTAACCAGTTTGATGAAAATATTTCAAATTGTATGTGAAAACACCACACTGTACCCCAGAATTGCATTAATGTACATAGTTATCATTTAATTTAAAAAATAATAAAAATAAAAACAGGAATGCAAATAAAAAAGAAGACCAGCCTATGCAAGATCAAGACCCCACCTCTATTAAAAAATAAAAAAACTGCCCACGTGTTGTGGCAGGTACCTAGAGTCCCAACTACTCAAAAGGCTGAGGCAAGAAGATCACTTGAGCTCAAGAATTTGAGGTTGCTGTGAGCTGTGATGACATAACAGCACTCAGCCCCAGGGCAAGGAGTGAGACTCTGTCTCAAAAAATAAAAAAATTAAAATCGCAATAGAATCAGCCAAAAGAACAATAATATATTGAAGAAGACTTAAATAGAAACAATATAACCCTGGATATTGCGATAACTGGAAAAGCAGCAGAACACTTACACTGAACTTAAAAACTGAAATGTTTGTTAAATGTCATAAAGGAACAAAATGGAGAGAGGGATCATGAAACTACCCAGGTGAAATGTTCGAACTTAATTGGAGATCTAGCAATATTATAAGTTCCCATTCAAGTAGAAACTAGAGTTAAACCAGGATAGATTCTAAACCTTTTTTCATTGTATTTCAGGAAACATGTCCTTTTTAAAAGATGTTATGGAGAGCTTTCTGGTGCAAAAGATGTGAGCTCCTCCTAACGTCTCAGTAAGGCAAAAAGGAATGGATAAAATGTTTTCAGATGGAAAGCATGATGTGACTGTTAGAAGTGACGTTGCTAACCTCCCGAAACAAATGCAAGCATCACAGCAGCCAGACCTGGTAAACCTGTCTACAGCTCAAAACAAAGCATCAGGACCAGGTGCAGTGGCTCATGCCTGTAATCCTAGCACTTTGGGAGGCCAAGAGAGGAGAATCATTTGAGGCCAGGAATTCGGGCAGTGTGAGACCTTATTTCTACAAAAAACAGAAAAATTAGCCAGGCATGGTGGTACATAACTGTCATCCCAACTACTCAGGAGGTTGAGGCAGGAGGATCCCTTGAGCCCAGGAGTTTGAGGTTGCTGTGAGCAATGATGATGCCTCTGCACTCCAACCCAAGCAATAGAATCACTTGAGGCCAGGAGTTGGCGACCAGCCTGAGCAATACAGCAAGATCTCATATCTTATAAAGTATAAAAAATTAGCCAGGTAAGATGGTATACATTTTTAGTCCTAGCTACTCAGGAGGCTAAGGTGGGGGGATCACTTAAGCCCAGGAGTTCAAGATTACAGTGAACTATGATAATGCCACTGTACTACAGCCTAGGCAGCAAAGTGAGACCTTATTTCTGAAGAAAAGAAATGGTAAATACTTTGGAAATTATAAATATTTGTATTATTGTAACAATCACTTTTTGTTATCTACATGATTTAAAAGACATTTTTAAAACAATTATTGTCTTAAGGCTAGAATTAATGTAACTGGTTTGTAACTTCACATGCTGTTTTCTACATAAGTTAGGAGAGTGATGCATTTAAAAGAATTATTAGCTTATGGCTTTGGACACATTGTATAAAGATGATAATTTTGTGATATCAACAACCAAAAGGAGTAAGGACAGGGCTGTAAAGAAGCAGAGTTTTTGTATATTCTTCGTATAAGTTTAAATTGCAGTTTTATACCTTCAGGATGTTAAATGTAATCCCCATGGTAACCACAAGGAAAATAGATATAGAATATATACAAAAGGAAATGAGAAAGGAATTTAAACATTTCACAACACAAAATCAACCAAACAAAAGTAATGTAGAAAATGCGGGACTAAAAAGCCATAAGGCATATGGAAACCAAATAGCAAAATGACATAAGTAAGTGCCTCCTTATTAGTGATAACTTTAAATGTAAATGGATTAAACTCTCCAATGAAAAGGCAGAGATGGCTCAGTGCCTGTAGCTCAGTGGTTAGGGTGCCCACCACATAACACTGAGGCAAGTGGATTTGAACCAGGCCCTGGGCCAGCTAAACAACAACGACATAGCAACAAAAAAATAGCCAGGCGTTGTGGTGGGAGTCTGTAGTCCCAGCTACTTGGGAGGCTGAGGCAAGAGAATCACTTAAGCCCAAGAGTTAGAGGTTGCTGTGAGCTGTGATGCCATGGCTCTCTACCAAGGGCAACATAATGAGACTCTGTCTCAAAACAAAGAAAGAAAGAAAAGGCAGAGGTGGCTAGGGACATGGTGACTCGTGCCTGTAATCTCAACATTTTGGAAGGCTGAGGCAAAAGAATTGTGTGAGGCCGGGAATCTGAGACAAGCTCTGGCAATATAGCGAAACCTCCTTTCTACAAAAAAATTAAAAATTACCTGGACATAGCAGTGTGTGCCTATAGTCCCAGCTACTCAGGAGGTTGAAGCAAGACGATCAACTGAGGCCAGAAATTCAAGGTTGCCATGAGCTATGATCATGCCACTGCTTTCCAGCCTGAGAGACAGAGTAAGAGTCTGTCCCTAAAAAAAAAAAAAATTAAAAAGCAGAATGCATTAAAACACATGATTTAACTCTATGCTATCTACAAGAGAGATTCACTTTAGATACAAAAGTGATCACAATAGATTGAAAGTGAACGGATGGAAAAATATATTCCATGTAAATATATTCCATGTAAATAGTCAAAGCAAAAAAGAATACCTCTATTGCCTAGAATTTGGCTCATGGTCGGCATCACTAAGTTTTTGTTAAATGAATAAAATATTCAAACTCACTTGGATTGGAGAATAAATGAATTACATTTTTCTCACTATACTAGAAAAGAAAATAAAAAGAAAAAGAAAAGAGAAATAGATGGAGGAAGAAGAGAAATTATAATTCATTTGAATTGACAATGTCATTTAGTAGAACTGGAAAAAATTCGGTGGCAATGTATTTAATTTAACTTCACTAAAAAAAACTCTGGCAACATCTCTACTGAGCCATGAATAACATCTGTGTCCTTTGATTCCAAAATACAACTTTGATTTCTAAACACTATTCTCCAACAAAAGAAATCGTGGCTCCTTGGAGAAACAGTGGATTCCAGGGCTGGGAGAAGTAAGATATAAATTATGCCAGGAAGTAACGAAGTGTCTCCCAACGAACAACGAGGGGATTATTGAAAGGGCATAAGAGCCAACCCGAAAGAGCTCCCATTGGCCAAGGCTGGAACAACTTCAGCAACAAAATAAATAAGAATAAGACTGGATTAAGCATAGTACTATATCAAAATAATACCAGGTTAAAACCCAACAGTTAAAATAAATATCCTTGACCTGGGCCTGCTGGCACATGCTGGTGTAGCCCCAGCTACATGTGCTCAAGAGGGAGAGGTGGGAGGATCGCTGGAGCCCGGGAGTTAGAGGCTGCAGTGAGCTATGATGGTGCCACGCACTCTAGCTTGAGTGACACAAAGAGACACTGTCTATACCAAAAGTAAAATCAAATAAATAAATATCCTCCAGTCCATTCTGTATAAATAAACAAATTGAGGAGAGGGGACAACTTTACAGAAGAATTCCGATTTCAGATGTTAAGGAATGAGGAACTAGAACATCACCAGTAAAACAGCACACTAATAACTGCTGCAAGCAGTTTCCACTGGTGGCTGCTAACACTGGTGGGCAAAAGTTTAAGAAGATGTAGGATGTTTTTATGCTCTCAAAGTGTTTTCCCCAAATAAATAGTATTTACAAAGAAAAAAGTAGCAGCTTTATGGTGGCAAAGCCTAGCAAACACCATTTCAAGAAAGTCATCCAGGTTAACATCAATAAGAAGACACTGATCTCACTGAAGCAGCCAAGTCCATGCAAAGGCCAGGCCTGGAGCAACTCCCTGATAGGCACTGTCAGTCCCTGGCCTGCTTAGTGGCAGAGGAGCAGGGCTCACAAGGGCACTGCTTTGAAGCCTTTGGTGCCACCAGAACTCCCAATCAAGTTCGAGCTTCTACCCCACAGTTTCTACCATGAGACACTGAGAAAAGAAGGCTGGGCACCACGGCTCATGCCTGTTATCCTAGCACTATGGGATGCCAAGACGGCTGGATTGCTTGAGCTCAGAAGTCT